GAGCAGCTCTCTGTGCTCTGCCCTTCTTGTGTTTTATTCAATAAATATCATCATATATTTAATTCAGTTGAATAATAGCTAGTGCAGAGTGCCAGAGCATTGCTAGCACTAAGATGAGGCTCCATCCCGTCCTTAACAGTAAAGAGCCGTCCAGAAGAATCGCCTCGTTCGTGAATGTCACGTCACTGTATAGCAGACTTTTGGTCTCAACGTTGTCCCATATCAGTCACACGTCACTAAACACCTTGGCTCAATCATGCAGTGGACGTGATATTTACCCAGAGGAGTTCCCATGGTAACGGCACCTGACAGCCCACTTCAGATTATACAAATTATTAGAGATGAAAACTGTCAAAAGTTATGATATGAGCCATAAAAACATTTTATAAATTATATGATAAGAAATTCTAGTTAGATAATCCCTGATTTAATGAGTTTATTTAAATAGAACAGATTTAATATTGCATATTAGCATAATCTGGATTTTCTGGATCGAGGCTGAAGCTACGGACCCCTTAAGGGACACGGGGACGTTTTCCTTTTGCGTTCCCTCGCAGTGACGTTCTGATCAGTTCATGTGACTGAATACTGTCAGCCTTTCTCATCATACTTTCTGCTATAATAGCAGGTTTTTCCATGGATGTTAATATGAAATATGTGAAGTTTTATATCTTTTTCTTTAGGATACAAATGAACCACAAACCTCTGATCCATGATTCTACCGAACCTCTTCCGGTTCCAGCGGAAACCAGAAATGCGGACAGGAATCTGCTGTTTTCACCGCTGCCACCGGAGGGCGCTGTGCTCGGACCGCCCAGTGCCTCGCGGACACCACGTAACCAATGGCAACCTAGCGCGCGTGCACATGGCTCCCAGAACAAACTTTGGTCGTTCGTACTTTCAAATAAGAGGCTCATTACTTTTTCAATGTGAATTGCTTGTTTTTATATGGTGTGACGTCACAAGCAGTTACGTGACTAAAATCCTGTCTATTGATTTTATTCCTCCCTGATCCAAAGAGCACGCGCTGCCGGAAGCGCTCGTTACTTCATGAAAACAGGGCAACTTCCGGTCTGAGGAGCAGGGATCAGAACCGTCCATGTTTGGACTCTTATTTTCCTAAAACTCGGAGGTCAGCACACTTCCTGTTATGTCTGGCTGTCGGGGAGCGTGACACAGCCGCCACCCCCTCCCCTCCCAGACAGACTGTCTGCAGCATCACACGGACAGACAGCAGCTCTGGGCAGACCGGAGGAGCCGAGAGCCGGTGAGTGGCGCTGGGGGCCCGGGGGGCCCGGGGGGCCCGGGGGGACCGGAGGGGCGAGGGACCGGGGGACTGGGGGACAACTGTTGATGCGGCGGAACGGACGGACTGAATGTGTCTTTAACAATGTCTCTATATGTCCAGACTATCTATAGTCTGGACATATAGAGACTGTCTCTGTATGTCCAGACTGTCTCTGTATGTCCAGACTGTCTCTATATGTCCAGACTATGTATAGTCTGGACATATAGAGACTGTCTCTGTATGTCCAGACTGTCTCTATATGTCCAGACTATCTATAGTCTGGACATATAGACTGTCTCTGTATGTCCAGACTGTCTCTATATGTCCAGACTATCTATACATCCAGACTGTCTCTATGTCAGACTGTCTATATGTCCAGCCTATCTCTATATGTCCAGACTGTCTCTGTATGTCCAGACTGTCTCTGTATGTCCAGACTGTCTCTATATGTCCAAACTGTCTCTATATGTCCAGACTATCTATAGTCTGGACATATAGAGACTGTCTCTGTATGTCCAGACTGTCTCTATATGTCCAGACTGTCTCTATATGTCCAGACTGTCTCTATACGTACAGACTGTCTCTATATGTCCAGACTATCTATACATCCAGACTGTCTCTACGTCAGACTGTCTCTGTATGTCCAGACTGTCTCTATATGTCCAGACTATCTACGTACAGACTGTCTCTATGTCAGACTGTCTCTATGTCAGACTGTCTATATGTCCAGACTATCTCTATATGTCCAGCCTGTCTCTATATGTCCAGCCTGTCTCTATATGTCCAGACTGTTTCTGTGTCAGACTGTCTCTGTATGTCCAGACTGTCTCTGTATGTCCAGATTGTCTCTGTATGTCCAGATTGTCTCCACTGTAACCTGATGTGTAAAGGAGACATCAGGTCATCAATAACTGTTGATCAGACTGATGATGTCAGATTCCTCCTGTCTGTCCAGTGTCTCTCTGTCTCTGAAGGGGACAATGAGGACATTGATGATGTAACAGAGATGAAGCTTCAGCTCATCTGTTTCTGATCAGCAGAGATCAACAGCGTCATTAGCAGCTTCCTGCTGGCCACCAGGGGGCCACCAGGGGCCACCAGGGGCCACCAGGGGGCCAGCAGGGGGCCAGCAGGGGCCACCAGGGGGCCAGCAGGGGGCCACCAGGGGCCACCAGGGGCCAGCAGGGGGCCACCAGGGGCCACCAGGGGGCCAGCAGGGGCCACCAGGGGGCCACCAGGGGCCACCAGGGGGCCAGCAGGGGCCACCAGGGCCACCAGGGCCAGCAGGGGGCCACCAGGGGCCAGCAGGGGCCACCAGGGGCCACCAGGGGGCCACCAGGGGGCCAGCAGGGGCCACCAGGGGGCCAGCAGGGGGCCACCAGGGGGCCAGCAGGGGGCCACCAGGGGGCCAGCAGGGGGCCACCAGGGGGCCAGCAGGGGCCACCAGGGGGCCAGCAGGGGCCACCAGGGGCCACCAGGGGGCCAGCAGGATGCCACCAGGGGCCACCAGGGGGCCACCAGGGGGCCAGCAGGGGCCACCAGGGGGCCAGCAGGGGGCCACCAGGGGGCCAGCAGGGGCCACCAGGGGCCACCAGGGGGCCACCAGGGGGCCAGCAGGGGGCCACCAGGGGGCCAGCAGGGGGCCACCAGGGGGCCAGCAGGGGGCCACCAGGGGGCCACCAGGGGGCCACCAGGGGCCACCAGGGGGCCAGCAGGGGGCCAGCAGGATGCCACCAGGGGGCCACCAGGGGGCCAGCAGGGGGCCAGCAGGGGGCAGCAGGGGGCAAGCAGGATGCCACCAGGGGCCACCAGGGGGCCACCAGGGGGCAGCAGGGGGCAGCAGGGGGCCAGCAGGATGCCACCAGGGGGCCACCAGGGGCCACCAGGGGGCCAGCAGGGGGCAGCAGGGGCCAGCAGGGCCACCAGGGGGCAGCAGGGGGCCAGCAGGATGCCACCAGGGGCCACCAGGGGGCAGCAGGGGGCCAGCAGGATGCCACCAGGGGCCACCAGGGGGCAGCAGGGGGCCAGCAGGATGCCACCAGGGGCCAGCAGGGGGCCAGCAGGATGCCACCAGGGGCCACCAGGGGGCAGCAGGGGGCCAGCAGGATGCCACCAGGGGCCAGCAGGGGGCCAGCAGGATGCCACCAGGGGGCCAGCAGGGGGCCAGCAGGATGCCACCAGGGGGCAGCAGGGGGCCAGCAGGATGCCACCAGGGGCCACCAGGGGGCAGCAGGGGGCCAGCAGGATGCCACCAGGGGCCACCAGGGGGCAGCAGGGGGCCAGCAGGATGCCACCAGGGCCACCAGGGGGCAGCAGGATGCCACCAGGGGCCACCAGGGGGCAGCAGGGGGCCAGCAGGATGCCACCAGGGGGCCACCAGGGGCCACCAGGGGGCCAGCAGGGGGCAGCAGGGGGCCAGCAGGGGCCACCAGGGGGCAGCAGGGGGCCAGCAGGATGCCACCAGGGGCCACCAGGGGCAGCAGGATGCCACCAGGGCCACCAGGGGGCAGCAGGGGGCCAGCAGGATGCCACCAGGGGGCCACCAGGGCCACCAGGGCCAGCAGGGGGCAGCAGGGGGCCAGCAGGATGCCACCAGGGGCCAGCAGGGGGCCAGCAGGATGCCACCAGGGGCCACCAGGGGGCAGCAGGGGGCCAGCAGGATGCCACCAGGGGCCAGCAGGGGGCCAGCAGGATGCCACCAGGGGCCACCAGGTGGCAGCAGGGGGCCAGCAGGATGCCAGCAGGGGCCAGCAGGGGGCAGCAGGGGGCCAGCAGGATGCCACCAGGGGCCAGCAGGGGGCAGCAGGGGGCCAGCAGGATGCCAGCAGGGGGCCACCAGGGGGCCATCAGGGGGCCAGCAGGGGGCAGCAGGGGGCCAGCAGGGGGCCAGCAGGATGCCAGCAGGGGGCCTGGTTCTCTCCTGCAACCTGAGATCTGTTTAGGTTCTGATGTGACTTCTTGATGTGGTCAGTCAGTGGTCATGTGATGGCGTGTTAGCCTCTCTGGTTAGCCTCGTTGCCCCATGTTAGCTAATACTGCTATGACCATATCTGCCTGTTTTCTTCTCTCCAATTGATTTAGAAACAGTTGATGGAAACAGAAAAATTGAGAATAATTTCCTCATTTTCACAAACAAGTTTTTACATTGCTTGAAGTGGTTTTTGGATTTTTTCATAAACTTCTGATGTAGGGCATCTCCCCTCCACTGGGGGCTCTGTGCCTTACCAGGGATGCTAGCTAGCAACCTCTACTTCCAGCCATGTCAACATCTGATGCTAACACGCCTCATTCAGTTTCCTTTTTGTGACATTTTAAAAGTTCGCTTAGAATTTGAAAGCAGATTTGCTTCTGTGCTAATGTTGCCTTAGCATAAAAAGTACGACTTCAGAACCCTAGCACTATATTAGCCAACAGTTGCGATATGAATATTTTACATGCAGATATTGCGATATATGTGCGATGCTTCGTGTGACCAGTAGCCGTCCAGCAGCTGTTCTCCAGCATCCTGAAGGTCTGTGTCAGGATCTGGAGGTTTAGTTGTTGTGATTCGGTCTGGGGTTCCACAAGGCTCTGGTCCCGGTTCTTCATTTTTCCAGGAACCTTTAGAGAAATATCCAGATTATTTCCAGTAAATGCACCTGGATTGATAAAGATGATATTAATAGTACTGAACCGAATAAATTCTCTCCAATGCTGTCTGTAAGCCCGACTCCTCCCCATACTGAGCGGCCATGTCGGTGCTCGGCCCCGCCCCCAGCAGCGCCGACGCCTGTCTCAGCATCGTCCACAGCCTGATGTGCCACCGGCAGGGCGGCGAGAACGAGGGCTTCGCCAAGCGCGCCATCGAGAGCCTGGTGAAGAAGCTGAAGGAGAAGAAGGACGAGCTGGACTCGCTCATCACCGCCGTCACGTCCAACGGCGTCCACCCCAGCAAGTGCGTCACCATCCAGAGGACGCTGGACGGCCGGCTGCAGGTAGGACTGGATTGGACCGGACTGAAACTACTGCAGCCAATCAGCATCCATGTCTGCTGGTAGCTGATTGGCTGATCCAGGAGACAGAAAGTTTTAGTTTGAGGCAGGGGGGCTCTGGTCACCCAGAGATCCTCACAGCAGTGAGACCTCTCACTCTGATACAGAACACGTCTTTCTCTGCTGGTCCACCTTTAAATGTGAACTGGGTCCGTCCTGTTGGGCCTCCGGGTCTCCTTTGTGGTTCTTGTTGTGACCCGGAGGAGGTTCTGACTCAGCCAGGTGCTCCGGCGGCAGCTAATGATCATGTTGGGCTTCAGCAGACTGGGAGTGGCCCAGTCCAGCTGTCATTATCCCAGTAGAGACAAACCGGCCGGTTCTGGTCTGCAGCCTGACAGCCAGAACCGGCCCAGAACTTCTCCAGGTAGCTCTGGGACCATCAAGTCTGGTTCTGGTCCAATCTGGAATTGGGTCTCAGATGACAAGATTCTGATCTAATCTGGAGAGATTAACTTCCAACTGAAATAATCATCAACTAATTTAATAATCGATTAATTGTTAACTGGAAGCTATTTACAGTCAAAATGAAAACTGAACAATAAATAACATTTTCCATTTCAGATAGAAAACCTTATTAGTCTGTAAATCTGTTCAACCAGAAATCTTCTAATTGATGAATGAATGAATGAATGAATGAATGAATGAATGAATGAATGAATGAATGAATGAATGACCTTAAAATGGGACAGTCCTCAACATACCTTATCCACTCAACCAGGTTTTGCTACAAATGCAAATTTCTTTCCTTTAGTCCTCAGAACTTACAGTAATATTAAAATTCAAGGCTGGGGGGGAGGGGGGGGGGGGGCTTGTTTTGTCTGAAACACAGGAAGAGGCGGGACGAAGTGAAGCCAGACTGACTGAGAGGGAGAATGTGTGTGTGTGCGTGTGTGCGTGTGTGTGTGTGCGTGTGTGCGCGTGTGTGTGAGTGTGTGTGTGTGCGTGTGTGTGAGTGTGTGTGTGTGCGTGTGTGTGAGTGTGTGTGTGCGTGTGTGTGTGTGTGTCATACCACACAGTTTCCACACTGGAACAATCTCCGGCTGATTTAAGCTGAACTTTCCAAAGATCCTGATCCAGAATCAACCTGTCGGGGCCCGGTTACCGAGCCCCCTGGGTCCAATCGGACTATTCAGAACCAGATAATGACGACTCTGATCCTGGAGTCTGGAGACGCTGAGTTTCCCTCCAGAGGATTTGTTTAGTCTGCAGTCGCCCGTCGCCTTCACCTCCGACCAGAGACATGGCAACACGCTGAGACATGGCAACACGCTGCCACATGGTCTCTGAGGCGACGGCCCGGCCCGGTCCAATGCTCTCTGACCTGTGGGTCTCACCTGCACAGGTAGCGGGCAGGAAGGGCTTCCCCCATGTGATCTACGCCCGGCTGTGGCGTTGGCCCGACCTGCACAAGAATGAGCTGAAGCACGCCAAGTTCTGCCGCTTCGCCTTCGACCTCAAGTATGACAGTGTTTGTGTGAACCCATACCACTACGAGAGGGTGGCGGCACCCACCTGCACAGGTAACACACACCTGAACCAGAGGCAGAACTGGTTCCGGTCCAGAACGGAGCTGAGGCTGAGCAGCAACCCCCCCTGCAGTCTGGATCAGAACCAGTTCTGACAGCCGTCCTCCATCAGGTCCTCAGGCAGTGATCAAGGAGGAGTTCCTGCAAGACTGCCTGCAGCTGGACCTGCCTCCCCCCTCTGACCCGTACGCCCAGCCCCACCCCCTCACCATGTATCCCAGCATGCCTCTGTCTCCGCCAGGTGAGTGCCCCACCACCCTGCCGAGATGCCCACCCTCCACTACCTGACATCTCACTCTGTTTTGTCTCCTGCAGGTCCGATGTCCATGACGCCCACTGCTCTGGGCGCATCCGAGGCTCCGGAAGGCCCCGCCCTCCTGCAGGTGGCCCCGCCCCCTCAGCCAGAGGGCTGTGCCTCACCCCCCCTGACCCCTCAGTCCGCCACGCCGGCCCCCGCCCAGCAGAGCCCTGAGTACAGTGGACGCCCACATCTGGTACACCTGCTCACCTGTCCAGCTGCTCACCTGTTCTGCTGGACAGGTCTCTCATTCTGCTTTGTCTCTGCAGTCAGCTGGTCAAGTAACAGCCCTGCCCCCTACACACCTGCAGGACATCAGCACATTGGGCAGAGCCACACTCAGCAGACGCCGTTCCATCATCATCAACACACACCCAACACTCACTTCTGTAAGACACCATGTGGACGAGGAAACATTGAGGTAGCAGTGGGAGCTACTGCGAAGCAGTGGAGGCTAATGGGAGTCAGTGGAGGCTAATGGGAGTCAGTGGAGGCTAATGGGAGTCAGTGGAGGCTAATGGGAGGTAGTGGAGGGTAATGGGTCGGGCTGGGAGACCTTGGGTGTTACTGTCAGGGTTTTATGTGGTACTGTGGTTGCTGGGTGCTACTGAGTGGTACTGGGCAGGGTGACAGTGCTGAGTCTGTGTTTTTAACTCCAGGGTCGCAGCATCACAGCACTCCTCCTTACCCACAACCGGTCTCCAACCATCCAGGTGAGACAATCTATTCCAAACACCAACATGCTTCTGTGGATGTTCTCTGTCTGCCCATTTTGCTGTGTCCGTTCTGCAGGTCCAGAGTTCTGGTGCTCCATCTCCTACTTTGAGCTGGACGTTCAGGTGGGAGAGATGTTCAAGGTCCAGTCCAGCTGTCCCCTGGTGACGGTGGACGGCTATGTGGATCCTTCAGGCGGGGATCGGTTCTGTCTGGGACAGCTGAGCAATGTCCACCGGACTGCAGCCAGCCACCGCGCCAGGTTAAAGCACTTCCACTATTTCCAACCAGTCAGTTCAGCTTAGACCAGTTCAGATCAGTTTGTATCAGACTGCTCGATTCAGTCCAGTTTAAGTCGTTGGCTACCAGCAGAGGAGCTGCATGCCAGAACTCACTGTCTCTTCATGCAGGCTCCATATCGGGCGGGGTGTCCAGCTCGAATGTCGGGGGGAAGGGGACGTCTGGATGCGCTGCCTTAGTGACCACTCCGTCTTCATCCAGAGTTATTACCTGGACCGGGAGGCGGGCCGAGCCCCAGGTGACGGGGTTCACAAGATCTACCCTGGAGCTTACATCAAGGTCTATCGCCAATCACTTCCTGTTTTCTTTCACCAGGAGTCTGGTGTTTTCTCCACCTGCTTCCTGATTGGCTCTCTTCACTGTAACACCATACTAAACAACAACCAACACTTGAACCCAAACTCGTCTTACCGTTTGTCCATCTCACCTGTCTGTCTGTCTCACCTGTGTCCACAGGTGTTTGACTTACGCCAGTGCCACAGGCAGATGCAGCAGCAGGCAGCGGCGGCGCAGGCGGCAGCACAGACCCAGGCGGCTGCGGATGTCGGGGCTATGCCAGGACCCCACAGCCGGGGAGGAATCGCACCTGCACTCAGTGAGTTTCACCTGTCTGCTCCTGAATGCCTCTTTAATAATGCAGCTCTAACTGGGTGTTTAGCAGGTTTCTGTGTGTGTGTAAGGGTGTGTTTGGCTCTGCCCCCAGGTGTGTGCCCTGCAGCAGGTCCAGGTGTAGATGACCTGCGCAGGCTGTGCATTGTGAGGCTGAGCTTCGTCAAAGGCTGGGGGTGCGACTACCCGAGGCAGAGCATCAAGGACACCCCCTGCTGGATGGAGGTGCACCTGCACCGGGCGCTGCAGCTGCTCGACCAGGTGCTGCACACGCTGCCACCTCGAGAAAACGCCCTCTGACCTGAACACACCTGACTCCCGTCACCCCCGACAACCTCCGTTCCTCTGAGAGACGCAGAGCTACGGCCTTGTTTCCATGGTAACAACCTCCAAGAGTCACTCCAGGCAGAGATCTGGGATCAGAATCAGGAAGACTGACTTCAGATCAGCTGAAACCAAAAACCATAAAGTTCATCTATTTATTTCTATTGATTACCTACCAAAGATTAATTTCTAAGTGATGACATTATTTCCTATTTGGTTGTTTAACCAACCATGTTTTTTTTTCTTTTTACAGCTTTTTATTCCATTTTAAAGTGTTTTCTACAGAAAGCTTCAATAACTCTGTAGCTGCTGTCTGTTCTCATTACAATAAACATTCCTGTCCTGTATTCTGCTGTCCTGTCTCAAGGGGGTGCTACAGACTCAAAATATACCTCAACAACCTGCACTAATACCACAGTGCAAACAACAAGCCAGAGGGAGCAACTATGAGCTTTAACACTTTCCTTCATCATGAGGCTTAAACTTTAGAGGTTGTCGAACAAACACACCATGCTCATCATGTTGTTGTTTTTTCCAAACGAATGGGAAAGCTGGAATTCCAGCTGGGAAATGGAGAGGCTGCTGTTCAGCCCTGACTTCAGTATCCAACATGGCTGCCACCCAAAGTTAAATCATGAAAGTTGAAGGTCTTAAATATTTATTTGCCATTCTGACACTTTTTGTATTATTTAACACATAAAATGGAATAAATACACCCTTATGATCTTAAATAATTAGCATATTGCTGTGGTTTTGAGGCTCAAATGCAAGACCTGGAATCCCAGACTGAAGAGAAATACAATGTTGGGAAATATTTTAGCATCAGTAGCTATCGCATTAGCAGAGTTTTGAAAGTACTTTATTGAATTCCCATTATATTCAGCTGGTTTCCTTCATTTTACTGCTCATTTTGTTTCTTATTTTTCCCATGTTTTGAAGCATACTACTCTGTTTTATACGGTGGCCCTGAGGTGCAAAACACAACAACATTAACGAAAACACAACAACATTAACAAAAACACAACAACATTAACAAAAACACAACAACATTAACGAAAACACAACAACATTAACAAAAAACACAACAACATTAACAAAAACACAACAACATTAAGGAAAACACAACAACATTAACAAAAACACAACAACATTAACAAAAACACAACAACATTAACAAAAACACAACAACATTAACAAAAACACAACAACATTAACAAAAACACAACAACATTAACAAAAACACAACAACATTAACAAAAACACAACAACATTAACGAAAACACAACAACATTAACAAAAACACAACAACATTAACAAAAACACAACAACATTAACGAAAACACAACAACATTAACGAAAACACAACAACATTAACGAAAACACAACAACATTAACGAAAACACAACAACATTAACAAAAACACAACATTAACAAAACACAACAACATTAACAAAAACACAACAACATTAACGAAAACACAACAACATTAACGAAAACACAACAACATTAACGAAAACACAACAACATTAACGAAAACACAACAACATTAACAAAAACACAACAACATTAACAAAAACACAACAACATTAACAAAAACACAACAACATTAACAAAAACACAACAACATTAACAAAAACACTACAACATTAAGGAAAACACAACAACATTAACAAAAACACAACATTAACAAAAACACAACAACATTAACGAAAACACAACAACATTAACAAAAACACAACAACATTAACAAAAACACAACAACATTAACAAAAACACAACAACATTAACAAAAACACAACAACATTAAGGAAAACACAACAACATTAACAAAAACACAACAACATTAACAAAAACACAACAACATTAACAAAAACACAACAACATTAACAAAAACACAACAACATTAACAAAAACACAACAACATTAACAAAAACACAACAACATTAACGAAAACACAACAACATTAACGAAAACACAACAACATTAACGAAAACACAACAACATTAACAAAAACACAACAACATTAACAAAAACACAACAACATTAACAAAAACACAACAACATTAACGAAAACACAACAACATTAACGAAAACACAACAACATTAACGAAAACACAACAACATTAACAAACACAACAACATTAACAAAAGCACAACAACATTAACAAAACACAACAACATTAACAAAAACACAACAACATTAACAAAAACACAACAACATTAACAAAAACACAACAACATTAACAAAAACACAACAACATTAAGGAAAACACAACGGAAGAGGTAGGTCCCAGTGGGAGACCTAAGAAGTCGCTGATTGGACGACAGGTCGTTTTACTTTTGAACCGGAAGTTCTTCTGGAGTGCTTCGTTTGATTGAAAACCTAAGGAAGCGGGAATACAGTCACTTCGCCATGTATTGCCCGAACTGTGGAAAGGAGGTGGTTGAGCCGTCACCAAATTTCTGCAGTAATTGTGGCAAGAGGCTTCAAGAAACTTGTATGGAGGATACTCCACAATGTTCAAGTAAGTTAAAAAGCATAAAGGAAGAGTCATATTTCTTATGGATGTAGTAACTTGCTAACGCTAGTGGTCTCCAGACCGTGTCCACTGTCATCTAGTTGTTCATTATAAATGCAATTAAAAGTACACAAAGTCGCTATAATACAGCAGAATTGTATTAGCTATATATCGTAAGGTCCGTCACAGCCTTAGGCACTACTTTTTTAGGATAATTTGTGTCGTTCTGGTTCTGCTGCACTGCGATCAGGCTAGCCGCCTTTTGGAAGCGAACTCGCACTTAATTTATACTTGTGGTAGCTTTACTTCAGTTCGTAATACATATCGTCTGTTTGCATGAATGTGATGTGCGACATTTTTTATTTGCTTTACTTCTAGCACAACAGACTATCCCATCCTGTCCTACACCAGCCCTCAGCACCTTCCTTGAATACAGAAAAAAGAAAAATGAGGAGCGACAAAAATATTCTCTTGGGAAAAAGGGGTTAAAACAAAAGGACAAAAAGAAAGTTAGGGTAGGTCCGGTATGGCTCCAACCAAAACAAGCAGCTTTTAACTAATGGACTTGCTTAAAGAAAGTTCTGCATAGCACAGCTATACAGAATAATTGTTTAACAGTAACAGCAAACTGTCAATTCATGATCAGTCAAAACAGTAAATCATCTATTGATTAATTACTGAGTAATAGTTGTCAAAGCATTGTTCTGTTTGTATCCAAATCTGTAGTTCAAAAGTAAAAGCTTGAAAATGACTGATATGAATAGCTAATGGATCTGTTTGCATGTTATTGTAATATAAGCCAGGAGAAATTAAAAACAACACATTTTTTTTACTATTCTTTAAAAAAGAAAAAAAACATTGCTCAATCTTCCACATAATTTTTTGTTTCAGATAAATATTGGATTGATGACCATTCTGAACAATTGTCTAAAGCCACGGCGTGGAAAAACCATTTCGGTTGCAACAAACCCAGAAGTCTCTGCCACACCTCTCCTCAGTCTTGCTATTAAAAAAATGAAGGACTTCAACAAAGATGTCAAAGATGGACCTTTCCTCCTTCTGTACCCAGATGGGACAGAGGTTATTAATATCCCTGGGACACAAACACCTTTTACCCTTGCAGCTTACAAGGCTGAAGTTGGCAAGACATATCAAAGGATATGTCTTTTCCTCTGCTTGAAAAGAGACTTTGAAGAAGGTAAGCTCAGATGTCTGCGCTTACATTGGCACATTGCAATAACTGCAATAAATCTAAATCTTAAAGCTGTGCAATTAAGCATTAGTGGCATGAATCAATAAAGTAATAGGTGTACATAGATTGGCTCTGACATGTGAAGTTACTTTCTGGACACTTGATAGGTACATTCAGTTTTTTGTTTTTACCAGTGCTATGTTTGTCCTTTCTGATACAATGTAATATAGTTGACCGAATACAGTACTATCACTTAGTAGAAGTTAAGTTGGTTTGTTTTTTTCCCCTTGTTTTGCAGTTGGAAAATTGTCAGACTTGTCCGATTCTGACCCAGAGATTGTTATTAGAAAATCCTCCGACTTTGATCTTGCTGATACACTGGTAAGTCCAACTTCAAATGTATTGGTCTGTCATTTTTATTTGGGTTGAGTGATCACAACAAGCGCATTTTACCTAAGCTTCATTGGACTATGAAGATGTTAAATTGTGTTTCATTTCTTCAGCCATGGGAACCTATGGATGAGAGCAGTCGTTTACAACAGGTGGCAGAAACACAGTAAGTTATATTTTAGGGACATATCATAGCATGATGTGTGTACATGTATCAATAGTATTATAACCTTCATTGCATTTCATATAGTATGGATTGGTGACATGTTGAATGTGGATATTTGTAAATTATGTGGTTATGGGAACATGTCCAATGAAGTTTTTTTTTTTTTTTTCAAGATGCTTGTTTTTAAATGTTGAATATACTGGATTGGAAATAATTATTAGACCACCCTTGCTTTCTTCATATGACTTCATATGTTCAAATTACCCATTAATATGTTTTTTCATTGTCCTTTAAGTAATGGTGTTGGGGATCTTGCACTTGCAAATGAAGTAAAACAGGTACAACTTTTTATTATGTCACACCACAATCCACAGATTTTTATCTCAAACCTTTTAGTAAAATATTTTGATAATTAAAATAACTGTAGAATAGTCAATTATTAAGTTTCATTTTACTCTTTTCTCTGTTTTCAGGTTATGGATTTGGATGACAACAGCAACAATCCAAGCACCAGTGAATGTGTCCCTGTCCAGAGCTCCTGTTACAGGTGTGTAATGGCTTCTGTCATAAAGAAGAAGGGTGTGTGTTGTGTCATCATGACAAGGTGATACTGATAGATCTATTGTGTCATCTAAAGTGCATTTATTTACTTCGAATGTTGTAAATATAACTTCTGACATAAATGGAATGTTTTGTGAAGGACAGTTGGAAGTTCCCCCCCTCCATCTATATCAGTTTCTCAATTATTTTCCGTTACGCCCCCCTAGCAAGAAGAAAACTATTCGCGCGCCCACTCCCCACCGTGACTATCCATCTCTGCATAACATTTTTTCCTTATTAACATTTTTTTTCGCTGAAAAAACTCTAGCGGCTTATCGGCGTGATTGGGATGTAACGTATTTAAGTGACGCGCTAATTTATTTGGCTTCATGCTGTCCGCTGCGAGCATTTTTAGACACAGCAAACACACCGGTCTTTCCTCTTCTCCAACTGTAGTCACAGTGAAGCCAAGCGCTAAATACGCTTCGTCGTATTTCCTCTTCTTAGCTTTCGGTTGACTTTCTGTTGTCTCATTATCTT